TCAGTGGCAAATTCTTTATATATAAAAAACTTACTTACAGTCTGTGAGTCAGAACAGCCGGCATTATAGTCTACTCTCCCAGGATCAGGAAACAGTCCTCCATAAAATGCTCTGCACACATCTGAATATTTGGGTTGAACTGTTCTGGAACGGTGTTTGGCAGCCATATCACCCTGTTGCCCAAGGCTGGTTACCCACTGAAGCTAAGCAGGGTTGAGCCTGGTCAGTACCTGGATGGGAGACCTCCTGGGAAAACTAGGTTGCTGCTGGAAGAGGTGTTAGTGAGGTGGTGTGTGGTGGGCGTTCTGGCACACTATGGCTGCCGTCGCATCATCCAGGTGGGATGAGGAGATACCCCCTGACAATGTAAAGCGCTTTGAGTGCCTAGAAAAGTGCTATATAAATGTAATGAGTTGTTATTATTATTATTATTATTATTATTATTATTGTAAATACAACTTAACCACTGATTTCTAGTCGTGTCCTCTTTTGGAAGACCTAACAAAGTAGTTTCGCTTTCACAACTAAACAAATCTTCCCACATAGTGAGGTAGACATGTGGGGGCGTGTTAGAACGAGCCGTTTTAGGTAGGCGTGGCTGACTCTTAACTTTTATAAAGAATATCTCTTTGGATTTGAGACTTTAGTCTTTGCAACTTTACAGATCTTCTTTATGCACCAAGAGCTTGTAACACCCAAAGAGAAAAGAAAAATTGAAATCGCATCATATGACCCTTTAAATAGAATAGAAAACTAAAATAGTAAAACTAAAATATAAAATGTTTTACACATTTAAATAACAATAATAAATAAAGAAAAAAAATCACAAAGGTGGTAGATCTTCAGTCCACAATTAAGGACCCATGTATATGGAAACTGTATAACGTTAAATTGTTTTTGTTGTTGTTGTTGTTTTTTGCAGTGGTGTATAAAGTACCTGAAAGCCGTACTCAAGTAAAAGTATAGATATCTTACCATAAAATTACTTTGGTAGAAGTTGAAGTCACCGTTTAGAATATTACTTGAGTAAAAGTCTTAAAGTATGTGATATTTATTGTACTTAAGTACGAAAAGTATTTTTTAAATCTTAAACGTACTTAAGTATTGAAAGTAAAAGTACAAGTAAATTCAAAATGGAAAAGAAGCAAATAAATATGTATATAAAAAAAATTAATACACCGCTTGAGTAGCAAGATTGTGTTCAGTTTTAACTCGTTCTTCCATTTTGTATCTTTGGGTTAGAATAAGAAGCACTTCTTCTGGTACTTGGTGTCTTTTATTCCAACATAAGAAAACATTTCTGGAATCTGCATCTGGAATAGCATTTAGATGTATTTACACAGTTTAATGTATCTCAGAGGGGACATGGATGCATTTAACCTGCAGTTACAGATGCATAAATAATGTTTTGTTTTTAACAATACGTTGAATACTGATATTTGAAATGATTTTAAAACATGAAAAAAATTGTAGAAATGTGAAATTAAAACCACCAGTAGGTGGCAGCAAGTGACTGTTAATGAGTGAGTCATTGAGCTTCAACAGATTCGTTCAAACGGCTGATTCATTCAGGAACAAAGCATTTAAAGGGGTCATATGATGTGATTTCAATTGCTCGTTCTAACACGCCCCCACATATCTACATCACTATGTGGGAAGATTTGCATAACGCCGCCCAAATGTTCACGCAAAGAAAGAAGGCGTAACTTTTATTCTCGCTGTAGTATTTTTGTTGCCGCTGCCATGTCATGAAGGCGCTGTGTGCTTCGTTGTGAAAGCGAAACTACTTTGTTTGGCCTTCCAAAAGAGGATGATAGAGGGCTGTTCTGACTCAAAGACTGTAAGTAAGTTTTTTTTTATATTTAAAGAGTTTTTATATTTTATATTAAAAGCAAGTTTTTTGGGCAGTGTAGAGTAGGGCTTGTTGTTTGTCATTTCTCCGATCACAAATGCAGACATGGTTTTATGTTTACGTGGCGCGATGCAACGCAACGTGTAAAACGACAGTATAAGTCATTATAATCCATAATTATGTCCCCACTGGATGCAATGAATGCCTCGTTTATAATGGGTCTTCATGTTTTTGTCGTAAACACCATTGCTCAGAGACGCAAAACAGTGCTGAGATCTTTGTTTGGAACTATTTTTGTTGGCAATAACAAGCAATATTATGTCTAAAATGTAAGTCACTTATTGCTAACTTTACTGAACTTGTATAAAATTATTATTAAATGTGTTATCAAGCTGATATCTGCAGAAAAACGGTACTCTTTGTGTGATAAGATTAACTATATTCAATTATATAAATATAAAAAGCATTCAGGCATTCTACAATTTAGAATGCCTGGAATTTTGAGTTTTAATAGACTAATAAATCACGTGCGTGCACTCTGTGTGTCATTTGGTGATATACTCGATAAAGTCAGATCGCACATCATTACAACACTTACCGTATTATCGCAGACGATGCTGTGTATCGCACACCCCAGACTCGGCTTGAGTGGAAAATGAATCATCCGCGGTTGTGCGCGCACTTGTTTGCACATGAGCAAAGGTCTTTTTAGTCTTAATTGCAAACGCCAGACCATTGATTCGCCAAACCTGCTTTCCTGCAGTCCGTGTTTTTCTGACTTCTGTCTATTTTGTAGTAAGTAACGAATATGCTTCGGGGAAATGTATCGGAGTAAAAGTATACATTTTAATTAGGAAATGTAGTGGAGTAAAAGTAAAAGTTGGCTGAAATATAAAAACTCAAGTAAAGTACAGATACTCCCCAAAAAATGATTAAGTACTGTAACGAAGTATTATTACTTCATTACATTACACCAGTTTTTTGTAATGTTAAAAGTAATATGTAAATCATGAATTATTTCTAAAATGAAATTCATTTAAACATCAGACAATGTTTATTACAGACTATTCCTAGTCATAACTGGATTCTTTTTTTTAATGAAATGTAGTAAAACTAACTTTACTAAAGTAACATCACTAAACTTGTACATTCATTTTTTGTATTTTTTTTTGTATTTAGACCTAACTGTAATTAACACCATTAGTTTTCATAAAAACATGTTAAACTTTTTCTGCTGTAAAAACATACACTTCATTAAACTGAAAAATTTGGAAAATATGTATTTGAAACACCTGCATGATGACATGAAGTAATTATAACCAGTAGGTGGAGGTAGTGATCCACATATGGTGGACTCTGCTCTCTGGAAACACAAAGTTCTAACAAACTTAATTTTTAAACAAACACTTTTTCAGTCAACATTCAGTAACTCTATGTAATGTTAAGAGAAAAGGCAATAAACATGATACATTTTGCAATGGCAAACAAGTTAGTAAAGAGAAGAGCAAGAGAATAACTACTATAAAAACTGAGTAACAAACAGTGCATAAGCCATGACTAAGTCTTGTTTAAACCTTCTTGCATGCATAGCAATAAGAAGTTATAATTGCGTGTGACCTGCAAATGTACATGTTACACTGACTGCACATCATACTGGTTTTTGTGTTCCTCTTTGATTCACAGACCTGACACCTTTTCCTCTTGCTGGGGGTTGATACTGGGGAGGAGCTGGGTTTTTTGGCTGTAAAGCATGCTCGTGTTTTCATCACCTTATATTAGAGGCTAGCAGAGGACGTCGTCTTTTTCTGAAGAGCATGCTTGTGCTTGTATCACCATATTCTGAGAGGCTGGCGAGCGGGGAACGTAATGCCGTCTTTTCATGTAGGGAGCCACCAGAGTTTCCCCTAGTTCTTCCAGGTAGAGCCTCCTTTTGAAGTTTTTCCCTTTGTTCCATGAGGGATTTATCTCCGTCCACAGTACGAATGAATTGTAGGTGGAGACATCCAACATGTTGAAGAAAATCACCATGGGCCAACGAGCTGTCTTTCTTTGGCATGTGTAAGTGGCAACAACCTGGAAGTGAAATGACAT